CGCGGGGCGCCTAGGGTCCTAGTGACGCGTTTCGATGTAGAAAGGTGGCGCTACCTTTGCACTTGCGTAGCACTTCTAGCTACGGTAAGGGCTTCTTAGGTGGGTCTGAGCCGAACTTTGCCTTTAAGTTAACTTCAAGTGAGCTGAAGCACCGTCCATCACAGATGATCCGGTGGACTCGGTCTAGTTTTGATTCAGGCTGCGTCTAAAAACATTGACTTGTACATAGGTTGGCCCCGCATATAACTGTGTAGACCAAATCGCATCCAAATACTACTAGGAGTTTGAATTAAAGCGAATGCCTGGCGCAGCTCAAAAAGATCTGATCCAACACTGAGAGCTTTATCCTTTTACTACTTTATGTTGCTTGGTCTATACCGGCTCTTTGTCATAAGTCACTGCCAAACACTTTTGAGCGGTGTAACCGTTATGGTGTATGACTAATTTCCCAATACAGCACTTAGGCTTACTCCTCTGGCTAAATGGCAGGTATCTTTTTTGACAGTTGCCTTGCCCATTCGAGATGCGCCACGCATTTGACCTCCCCTCAAAACTCAGTTACTTCTATTCAATGGCTCGGCCTATGTTGAAACCAATGTTACTATCTATTCGACGAAAGCTTAAACCATCAGGCTTTTTCTGGAGTTAGAAATGATTTTCCCTAGTGTATGGTATATGCTATTGTCCACTGAGCATGCGTTCTAGTAGAAGCATCATTTTCTACTTCTATACTTCATCTAGAGTCCAACCAAGCGAAACAACAGAAAATCTCCACGTATTCTTCGGATTTGGTTGCGATTTAATCCTTCGAAATTGTAGATTATCTTTTCAGGAACCTCCTTCAACATCACCATGAAACCCGAAGGTGAGCACATTTGATCATTTTCGAAAAAAAAACTCTTCGCTTGACTAGGGTCTCACATTTCAGAGGCAAATAGTCACTATGTTTTTGAAAACTTATATTTATTGGGTTCATTGGTTTCAATTAGTGATTCAGAAGCTCGAGCAATTCTGAAACCCTTTTACGATACAATAGAGAAGAACATGAAGGAGGGGAAACTAGAAGAAAACGTCAAATTCGTACATCCCGATGGTGTGGCCGTGCAGAAAGGCAAAGCAGCTTACTATGGGCCAGGTAAGTTGAGTTACGCACGATCAATTCCTCCCACAAATATAAGATCAACACGTAATTTGGCGGATGTGCAAGTTTTCTATTGACTTACTACTTTTTTCTGATCACGAGAAAGAGAAAGAGAAAACGAGCGAGAAATGCGCTTTCCAAAGACATATAGGGCGGTAGCAGTTTCTCAGAAGTGATTCTGAAATGATACGTTAAAAAATGATTTACTAATAACAGCACACTTATCGGAAAATCCAACACATATAACAAAATTGGAGTATCTTTGGAAGGCTCGGATCTTTGAAGTGAGGCGCGCAACCTTTTGATCATTGCGCCACCTCTTTCCCAAAATCCTTAGGATTTCCTGGAGCATGTAGCCCAGTAACAATCACGAAAACAGTCACTCACTGCCTGGAAGTTAACTCAGATATCTGCACTTTTTAGAGATCGGTGTCGCGACTGCGAAAAATTTTCCGAAAAGAACACCAACCGAAGAAACATCAACGGTGCGTCATTTGGCCACCGACGTCTATGGATTACTTCCCCACAGTTACTTCCTTATCATGAAATCAATAAGCCTTACAGAGATCGAATGAGGTCTACTGCGGTTGCGACTGTTGCATATGTGTGTCTTTTGAAGCAAGCTTTGACACACCGAAAGGACCACAAAAAGTCATCGAACACCAGATTTGGAAGAAACACGATGGCAGCTGGAAGATATACCACATGGAATACGAATTGGTCGCCTAAGAATAATTGTTAGGAGAATCTGATTGCTCATGAAATTCTTCGGTTTTTTTTGTCGTTAAAGCGATAAAAATCGTATAACTTCGTATAATAAAGCATGCTAACCATCCCCTTCAAAGAGCGAGAAGTTCGGTTACAGACCAAACACAGCTGATCCTGAACCAACTGACGACGCCTCAAGAAATCTGCCAGAAGTTTTGGTCATTCGGTATACCTGATTTCTGGTAGATATTTGTAAAAACCAGTGGCAATCGATAGAATACAATTGCAACAGGCTAATCATTTCACGGCAAAAACATTTCTTTGTGAAGGCCGTCGTCACTTATGGGGCATGGTCTGCACCCAACACTTTCTCGCTTTTTGAAGGGGAGGGTATCTATAATTAACGGGCATAAAACCGATTTACGCCATGGAAGAAACTGAATGTACTTCATAGAACCAAGTTGATAGCTATCGCTTGATAAGAAATAGTCAAACGAAATGGAGCTATGGAAAATGCAAAAAGCATCGAACTTGAAAACATGAATTGTGAGATTCCGAAGGGCAAGCCCAGAATCCAGGAATAAGAGATACCGAAGTCGCCAGAGAGAGGACCACAGTAATGATTGACGAGAGAGCATGTGGTACAAGCCAGAGCGGATTTGGCCTATCACTTCAAATTCGCGGATGTAACCCCCCGTGCTGGGTGGATCCCCTCGGAATCCCTAACGCCTTCGTCTTTGCCTGCCTTAGTGCCACGAAGTCGATGCGACCCGATGTTGAAGGATCACTAACCCTTGCTCGCAGTCTGGGGTTGTCTACTCTCGTCTACTCACGGAACGCCATCTTACAGAGTCGAGTAATTAATACCAGACTTTTTTTGGAAATATAGAAACGCTGACCTGTACATCGGCTGAGCTTCGCAGGTCGTCGTATAGGCCATTTCGCATTCATATCGAAACCACGCATCTGAATGGAAGTAGACGGCATGGCAAATCCTAAGAAAGAATTGTTCAATACTGAACGCTTTATCATTGATCCTTAATTCAAATTAAATCTGGGCAATTAATTTTAATTATTAATTTGTTTAAAATCATTTAATCAAACGTGGATGTATATTTACCAATCTAAAATATATATATGCCCTAACGTGTGATAACTAGATACTATTAATACACACTGCGTTTCATAATTATAGGTCCACCCTAAATTTTTGCTACCCAAAAGTTGCTGTGCATTTTTTGGAAATGCTGCTATCACCGTTAGATTCCTCATCACGGAAAACCTTCATAGTGTTCGCCTCTCTTCCCAGTAACAAGCTCAAGCTAGAGCACTTACTGAAGTGGGATAGCTGAGGAGCAGAATTTCCTCCCATGTCGGCCGGCTCATACTGCATAAGCGACTATGTGCAAAATCCTGGTCAGTGCGGAGAGAAGAGTCGCTTAGGTAAATAAAGACTGCGTTTCCTTCAAAATTAGGAGGAATTGGGTGTCTTCTCTCGAATTATACAAGGAGTCCGAACAAAGTCCGTACTGAAATGCGGCCTTCCGTGAGCAAAACCACCGTGTGGTGAGTAAGCCAGCAGAGCAATAACATCTTCAACGGATTGATGAAGAGCGTTCCAAGATTATTTGAGCGCTACAAGATCGCAAGTCTCCATTTCTCCGTGGAAAAGGGCTCAACTTAATGAGCGATGGTGTGGCTGTTAAGACCCTTCGCGATCTTGGACTCTACCTCCTTGTTTCGTTCTACAGGTGGTCTGAGATCGACGTGGAAAAGTTTATTCTAGGTGGATATGGCAGAAAAAGAGGGTACAGGGATGATCGCGTGAAAATCGCAGATGGTTTCAATGTAACGTAATTTCGGCGGTGAATCCCTTATGGTTTGAGGCACCTTTGAACGACTGAGTAGCTAGAGCTCGCTTTTGTTTCCGTTCACAAAGATTCCACAGGGTATCGTGAAGTTCTTTCGAAGCGAGTCTTACCATTTTTTCAACAAGGATCCCCTCTATCCTTGATTTTCACACACGATAACGCGGCTGTCCATGCCGGTCCCTCCGCGCCAGATGGAATTGCAGGAAAAATGTGGCAGTTATCTGGTGGCCACCATGTTATCTGAATTAGATTCCAATAGAGAATCATTGGGCCTTAATTGTTATAAAGTTCCACAGCAAAGTAAAGCAAAATGGAACAGCCGAAAAGCTGAAAAGGTCGATCATCGGCGCCCAGACGAATTTCGATCCTACTGTAATAGCTAATTTGGCTACCAGCATTTCAAAACGTATTATTGTGTTCCTTATGATTATTGGGGGGTCATCCCATTATTGAAAATTCGTGACGTTTTTTCGTTATAGTAAAATCTCTCGACAAGTGATGTGTAGTCATATTTGCGAAACGGTGAAAATACGTTCTAAGGAAGATATTTTAATAATTCTGAATCGAGATTTCTCCAGAAATCAAGTATCAAGGTTTTTCGTTATGGGGAAACTATTGGTAATAGCGGCATTTTCCAAAAATGCACAGCAACTTTGGAATAGCAAAAAATTAGGGTGGACCTATATTATGAAACGCAGTGTATGTTTGTGATTCCTAGAAGAGAAATATTCTTTCTTCGTGACTATCTAAACTATTGTAGCTTCGCGATTATGTTGATAATACCCAACTTCATCTTCAGCATCACAAACTTCAGTTTTCTATTACAATAATTATTGATGTATTTACTATCTTCTGCTGTTTGTTATGGTAAGCAATCTAAGCCCACCAGTAACTCTGAAGACGTCTGAAAACCTGTCCGTTATTGCATCTATCTTACCCGCGGAAGGGTGTTGACAAAGTGTCCAAGGGTATAATTAACTACTTGGGCAGGTATAAATATTTGAAATGTTAAGAACAAGTTCACTTTTCAGCTCAGTGCCTTACTTGGACTTTCCTTTT